TGCACTCCAGCCTGGGCGACAGAGCGAGACTCCGCCTCAAAAACAAACAAACAAAAAAAAAATGCAACCAACTGCAGGGTTTGGGGTGACAGTTTCCTGGTCATTCCTCCCAGTTTCTTGATAGCGGTGCCTTTATAGCTAGAGATGACTAAAGCCCACCCCCAAGAAAACAGCAAGTCATGTACTACTGAGGCCCATGGGGGCAGAATGCTGTTCTCCCCACCGGAGCAACCCAAGCACTTGAGTGTCTGACACCACCCATCACCCCCCAACTCCATGGAATCAGAGTTGAAATCTGAAGAGTGGGACCAAAGATGACAGAGTGCGTGGCTGGAGAGAAGGGGAAGTCCACAGAGTTTAGGTAAATTTCTGAACCACATTCCCACCATGCCCACAATGTACTGCATTAAAGTACATTAGAAGCTAAAGACCAAAAAGGAATCAGATTTCCAACTCTGCCACCTAAAGTAGAACCCGAGAACCTTATTTACTACACAGATTTTAGCACAAGTGCCTCCAGTTTCACAATTTCACCAGCAGCTTAAGCAAAATGGCCTGGACACTAAAGATGGTCTCTGGGTGTGAGTATCACTAATTTCCTCTGTCCACAAACCACTTTGATTCTCTTTGATTCTCTGATTCTCTCTGTCCCTAATCTCCCATCTAGTTTTTTGTTTGTTTGTCTGTTTTTGAGACAGTCTTGTTTTGTCACCAGGTTGGAGTGCTGGAGTGCAGTGGTGTGATCTCGGCTCACTACAACCTCGGTCTCCTGAGCTCAGGCAATCCTCCCACCTCAGCCTCCAGAATAGCTGGGATCACAGGTGCACACCACCATGCCCAGCTAATTTTCGTACTTTTTGTAGAGATAGGGTTTAGCTATGTTGCCCAGGCTGCTCTCAAACTACTGGCCTCAAGCAATCTGCCCACCTCATCTTCCCAAATTGTTGGGATTACAGGCATGAGCCACTGCGCCGGCCCATCTGGTCTTATTAAATACTTCATTCTCTGCAAATGCAGATGTTTTCTCAGTTCTGATTATTTTTTCTAAAGTAATGACCCTCCACCTGGCTAGACGAATGCTTCTAGCAAAGGAAAAGACCAGGGTGTGAAAACTGTACTGCAATAGAACGTAACATAAAGCTCCGTCCAACCCCCACTACCCATCAGATCTGAGGTGGTGGCAGCAGCAGGCATCGGGGCTCTCAGGCTTGCCCATTAGTCATCCCTAAGGCCCATTAGCACACGGGTTAGGAGGAGCACACACTCTGGAATCAGAAAGTCCAGGATTGAGCCCAGTCTTCTCAAGGCTTTGTCACTCACTATCACTCCATTGACTTAGGACCTCACAAAACCTTGTCATGTGCAAAACTGGGGATAGTAAGTTCTACCTTGAATGTTGTTGTGAGGAATAAACGAGGTAATGTCTACGCAGCACCTAACACAGATTCCTGCAGATAAACACTCAATAAATGTTAACTATCATCCACTATCTAGTCATCAGAAAAGCACAATGATCTGGGATCTTTAACTTCTTCCGCTTCCAAAAAAAAGAAAGAAAAGAAAAAAGAAAAAGATGTGTGGATTTTTCTCCCCCTAAAGGTACCAGTGAAGTGAAACTTAAGAAGGAAAACCTGGGCCGGGCGCAGTGGCTCATGCCTGTAATCTCAGCACTTTGGAAGGTCAAGGTGGGCGGATCACCTGAGGTCAGGAGTTCAAGACCAGCCTGACCAACATGGTGAAACCCTATCTCTACTAAAAATACAAAAAATTAGCCGGGTGTGGTGGCAGGTGCCTGTAGTCCCAGCTACTTGGGAGGCTGAGGCAGGGGAATCGCTTGAACCCAGGAGGCGGAGTGCACGAGCCAAGATCGCGCCACCGCACTCCAGCCTGGGCAACAACAGAGCAAGAGACTCTGTCTCAAAAAAAAAAAAAAAAAGGAAAAAAAATCCAATTCAAATCCCACTTCAGGGACTAACTCGTTTGCAACTTAAAGCAAATCATGTCACCTCCATTTCTTTGCCTATAAAATCGGAATAACAGACCCTACTAAACTTTGACGACCTCAGAGATGAGTAAGAATCAATTAGATAACAGGTCACGAAAAAGTTTTCACTTCCTCAAATAAACAGCAACAAGTAGTAAATCCAGAGCATAATAATAATAATAATTATATATATATATATATATATATTTTTTTTTTTTTGAGATGAAGTCTCACTCTGTAGCCCAGGCTGGAGAGCAGTGGCATGATCTCAGCTCACTGCAACTTCCACCTCCCGATTCCCGGTTAAGCAGTTCTGCCTCAGCCTCCCCAGTAGCTGGGGTTACAGGCACGCAACATCACGGCCAGCTAATTTTTGTATTTTTAGTAGAAACGGGGTTTCACTATGTTGGCCAGGCTAGTCTTGAACTCCTGACCTTGTGATACGCCCGCCTCGGCTTCCAAAAGTGCTGGGATTACAGGCGTGAGCCACTGCGCCGGACCAAGAGCATAATTATTATTAAAATGCCAGGTCCCATAATATCATGGAACAAAAATAAGTCAGTGATGACTCTTACTTTTTCTAGAACATTAGGTTTGATGGCCCTTTGGTCTGTTCACATGAAATCTGCTACAAGCTGGAGGAGGCAAATGGCTGCTCCCAGCAGATCCCAGTTCAGAGGCACGGCCCAGCAAAGCTAGCACTCTGCCAATGGTCAGGCTTCGACCATCCTGGGCCACTTCTCAGATACCAGTGCCAGGAGAAATTAGGTGATTCATCTGGTTCCACCTGGACATGTGAAACCAACGACAACCAAAATCCTCACCTGCAGGACTACTCCACAGACACAGGAAAGGGTCCACTTTGACCCTCTGCTCTTCTGTACTGAATGGTGCACCACTCTTCCAAGGCATGTGCCATCCTTCCTTTAAAGCGCAACGCATGATCCAGGAGGAAGAGCTCAATTTTTCCTTATTTTTACTTCTAGGTCCAAGACGTGAGTTTCATTTTTAATCTACCACGGAAATGTCTGAAGAGCTGGGAGTTTGAGTGGGAGGAGGAATGGGGGGCACCTCAACTCCCTAATTTAAAAACAGGCATGCAACCAAAACTGCATCCGATTTCATCATCCCCAGGTCTCTCAAACCCAAGGAAGAGAGGAAAAATGACCTTGTTGAACATCTGCTATGTGCCAAGGACTGTGCTAAGTTCATCACGCACATTATTTCCAAAGCCCATTTTCTCTTCCACACCTAGTAACACCATGGAATAACCATCACGGAACAGGATCATCCCAGGTCGGGGGGTGGGGGGAAGAATCACAATATGCGGTCAAGCTTAAGACGTTTCAAATGTTAGCGTCGTAAACACAAATAAACAGCCTTGACGGAGGAACTAGATCTAAGTTCCGAAACATCCTTTACAGGAGGAACACCCAAACCATGTCTTTCCTATAACTATACAATTGGCTCATGCTATTGAATACACTATCAAAAAGACTTAAAACTTTTAAAGCCTGGAGCACAAGAAGAACTCACTATAGGACTCGAACAATCTGGGGCCGGGCTTCTGACCTGAGAAGTACATCTGGCAATCACATACGGAATGAACGGCATCCCCTGAGAGGGCTGCAGAGAGGTGCTCACGGGAGAAGGCAACCACAGTGAACTGGCCTGTCCGCGGCCAGGGAACCAGAAGGCGGAGCTTTCCCGCAGGCGGCAGCGACTGTAGGAAGATGTCTTTCTCAGCTTAGAACCTAGTTCATCCTCATCCCTGGGGTACAACGACTGTCTATGGAGCAAAGTGTCAGATGGGGCCAAATACACATTGGTGGCCCGATATTCAAATGTCATCCTCTCCATGCACATCCCACTAAAAACAAGCTTAGGGAAAAGGCAAACAAACAAAAGCTGTCCACCTGTCCACAGTTGACCTTCATTCCTCTGCATCAACCCGTTTCACATAAATCACAGTTAACATCTGCACTAAACACCATTAAAAGAACACAAATGTGGTTTGAACTCTTGGACATACTTTCTCTGCATTCAGAGTCAGGAAAATCAGCCAAGATATGGGGCTGGTCCCCGCCCCTTAACGGGATGCGGCACAGAGGCCTTGCCTGAGGGGCCTGCCAGACCCCTTCTTCCCCGCTAATCACTGAGCACGTGGGGTGGCGGCCCACCAGTGCCCCATGCCAGGCGGAGGCTCTGGCTGCAGCTGGCTTTCTGCTAGGCCAGGCAAGCCCGGCTCCGTGTAGGGCTCCTCAAGGTGGTTTTTAAGTTGGGAATTTCCAGTGTGCCCCGGAGACCTCCAAGAGTGCGGTCCCCTCGGAAGGCAGCTAGGGAAGGGGTGTCACTGAGACCAGAGGCGCAGGCGGCTGCCATTGCCCGGCCGCACCCACCGCCCCCACAAATCGAAAGGCGCGCCAGGGTCCTCTCAGCCACCTACCTGCCAGGGTCGCAGGAGCCCACCCTTGGCACACGCCAGCGCCAGGCCGGGGCAGCGGGACGGGGAGGCCCCGGGGGCCGGGTCGCGGAGGAAGGACCCGACGGAGCCTCGGCCCCGAGCCTGCGGACTCCAGTAAACACAGAGACCTCCCCCACCCCAAAAATCCCCCCATCCAGCGCCGGGCTAAGCCCCCTCCCTCCGCCTCACGCCTGACGCGGCAGCGTCCCCGTGGTTCCCCGCGTCTGCTGCCCGGGAACTCGGGACCCGCCGGCGCAACTGGCCGCGCATCCTCCGGCGGGAGGCGACCACACGGGAACGCGGGGCGGGGGCTTCCTCGCGGCCCGCCGGCCGGGCGCAGGGCTATAAGCGCCGCCGGAAGGAGGCGCCCGCGCCGCGGCGGGTCCCGGCCTCAGCGCTGCCCCGGCGGGAGGCTCGGCGCGCGTCAGCTCGCGGGGCCACCCGCTCCAGAGCCGCCTGCCGGGGCCAGCCCGGGGCCCGAGACCCCGAGCTCGGGCGCGAGCACGATGCGGCTCCCCGGGGGCAGTTGGAGTCCCGAATCCCCGTCCTTACCTCTGCCTCATGCTGCGGTGTCCCTCAGCGCCGGAGTCACCGTGGTCGCGCAGTGCTGCCCTGTCCCGCAGCCCCGGCGTCCGGCGCGGTAAGCAGCAGCCGGAGCAGCGGCGCAGCCGGGGGATGGGCGGGCACATGGAAGGGCGGGGGTTGCGGCCCTCGGGCCGGACCACAGGACCCCAGCCTCGGGGGCGAGAGATCTCGGCGCACCTCGAAAACTGGCACGCGGCCCCCGTCTTGAGGGACCCCGTTGCTAACTGCACGCTCGGCCTTGCCAGAATCTCACGGGATATGTGCAAAAGGAAAAGAAATAAGCTGTCGCCACGCCCTTCGTCCTCTCCGTCCCCCCGCAGGGTCCATATGGTACATTCCTCAAAGCCCAACGGGAGACGGGAAAGACGTGATTGGTTGGGAATCTTGGAAGGGGCGAGAAGCCACATGAAGTGGCCAATGGAGAAACCCGGTGGGCATATCAAAGCCTGCCAGCGGAGAGAAGACAGGATGTATTTAAAGGGGACTTGTCGGCCGGGCGTGGTGGCTCACGCCTGTAATCCCAACACTTTGGGGAGCCTGCAGCGGGCGGATGACTTGAGGTCAAGAGTTCAAGACCAGACTGGCCAACGTGATGAAACCCTGTCTGTACTGAAAATACAAAAATTAGACGGGCGCGGTTGCACGGGCCTGTAGTCCCAGCTACTCTGGAGGCTGAGGCAGGAGAATCACTTGAACCAGGGAGGCAGAGGTTGCAGTGAGCCGAGATGGTGCCACTGCACTCCAACCTGGGCAACAGAACAAGACTCCATCTAAATAAATAAAAAATAATAATAAAGGAGACTTGTTTGTTGCTCTTAGCTGCCACAAAGTGAAACTAGAATTTTCATTCTGACACTGTACAGATGGGAAGCAAAGAGGTTAGGGGAAATTTCATATTTTTGGAGGAGGGCGCTAAGAGAAAATACAGAGCAGAGGCCAGGTGCGATGGCTCACACCTGTAATCCCAGCACTTTGGGAGGCCGAGGCGGGTGGATCACAAGGTCAGGAGTTTGAGGCCAGCCTGACCAACGTGGTGAAACCCCATCTCTACTAAAAATACAAAAATAGCCAGGCATGGTGGCACGCGCCTGTAATCTCAACTTCTTAGGAGGCTGAGGCAGGAGAATCACTTGAACCCAGGAGGCAGAGGTTGAACTGAGCGCAGATCGTGCCACTGCACTCCAGCCTGGACAACAGAGCGAGACTCTGTCTAAAAAACTAAAAGAAAAAGAAAATATAGAGCGAATTGAACCAAATATATCTGTATGACCTTGAGCAGGTAAGTCCAACCCTCAGCCTCAGTTTCATCATCTGGTCCAGTAAGGATACTGGACTGCACTTGGTGTCTCACAGCCTTCACTCACTTCATGTGGGATCCTATCATCCTTTGCACGGGAATAGCAATACCTGCAAATATTCTTCAACTTTGGGCACAATCCACCATCTTAAAGAACTTTAGGCCCGGCGCGGTGGCTCACGCCTGTAATCCCAGCACTTTGGGAGGCCGAGGCAGGCAGATCACGAGGTCAGGAGATCGAGACCATTCTGGCTAGCACGGTGAAACCCCATCTCTTCTAAAAATACAAAAACAAAATCAGCCAGGCGTAGTGGCGGGCGCCTGTGGTCCCAGGTACTCGGGTGGCTGAGGCAGGAGAATGGCGTGAACCCGGGAGGCAGAGCTTGCAGTGAGCCAAGAGCGTGCCACTGTACTCCAGCCTGGGTGACAGAGCGAGACTCTGTCTCAAAAAAAAAAGAACTTTAGTTGAAAGTGGATAGACTCTCTGATACCTATTTTCAGCGACAGTATCTACCCCACCTTTGGTAAAGGCGAAGCCAGTCTGCTTTCCGGGCCCCTCATCTCTTAGAGAAGAATATTCTTGTTATATGTGGAGCCCACCTCCAAGTAGTTCATAATTTCTACTTCTCCAAGAGGCACCCCTTTCTCTTCCTTCTCCCTTCCTTCTCATAATCAGAGCTTCGATTAATAATTCATCCACCCAATGAGCTATCCACAATTCCTGCCTTCAGCAACAAACCCCACTGCTCACCCCTCCAAGAGCTGCCAAAGTGCTTGTCCCTAACTCAGTCTGTGACACGCCATTCAACCACACATGGCCAATTGTGCTTTCAAGCTCACTACAAGCCAAATTTCAGACTTTCTAACCATTCCTTGGGGCCTGCTTGGTTTTAGAGTTTTACACCAGCCTGCTAGGCTTACAGTTTGGCTACCAAGCTTCAGCTCCACCTTCTTTATTTCAGAACTTTTCAACTTCCCACAACTTCCCAACAGCTGGTCACCCCACCCCCACTCAACCAGCTTCCAAATCATGTAGGGTGTCTGGGATGCCCTTCCTTTTTTTTTTTTTGGATGGAGTCTCACTCTGTTGCCCAGGCTGGAGTGCAGTGGTGCAGCTCGGCTCACTGCAAGCTCCGCCTCCCAGGTTCACACCATTCTCCTGCCTCAGCCTCCTGAGTAGCTGGGACTACAGGCGCCCACCACTACGCCTGGCTAATTTTTTCTGTTTTAGTAGAGATGGGATTTCACCGTGTTAGCCAGGGTGGTCTCAATCTCCTGACCTCATTATCTGCCCACCTCAGCCTCCCAAAGTGCTGGGATTACAGGCATGAACTACCGCGCCTGGCCTTCCTTTTTTTTTTTTTTTTTTTTGACATGGAGCCTCACTCTGTTGCCAGTCTGGAGTGCAGTGGCGCGATCTCAGCTCACTGAAACCTCCGCCTCCTGGGTTCAAATGATTCTCCTGCCTCAGCCTCCCGAGTAGCTGGGACTACAGACATCCACCTCCACACCCAGCTAATTTTTGTATTTTAGTAGAGACAGGGTTTCACCATGTTGGCCAGGATGGTCTCGATCTCTTGACCTCATGATCTGCCTGCCTCGGCCTCCCAAGGTGCTGGGATTACAGGCATGAGTCACTGCGCCCAGCCCCTGGGATACGCTTTCTAATAGCTCCAGATAACTAATCTTCCAACTATAATCGAAAGAGTTCCAGAAAGTGCATTCCTCCATGAAGCCTTCCAGATTGATTACCAGAAGCTGCTAGCTTACAGAGCTCCCATTTCTACTCTGTGCCCTGTCATAACCCAACTGTCCATGCTCTCTGCCCCAATATACATTTCTTGTTTTTTCTTTTTCTTTTGAGACTGAGTTTCGCTCTTGTTGCCCAGGCTGGAGTGCAATGGCATGATCTCGGCTCACCGCAACCTCCGCCTCCTGGGTTCAAGCGATTCTCCTGCCTCAGCCGCCTGAGTAGCTGGAATTATAGGCATGCGCCACTACACACACCTAATTTTGTATTTTTAGTAGAGACAGGGGGTTTCTCCATGTTGGTCAGGCTGGTCTCGAACTCCCGACCTCAGGTAGATCTGCCCACCTCGGCCTCCCAAAGTGCTGGGATTATAGGCGGGAGCCACCACGCCCGGCCAATATACATTTCTTATTGACAAATTTCCCTGTCTCCCTGCTGGCTGCAGCAGCAGCAGCCACAGCTTACATTTATTAAGTGCTCACTATGTGCTAGGTACTGTTGGGAAGTGTTTGCCTGCATTATTTCATTTCACCCTCATATCAACTCTGTGATGTTCCATTATTATTCCCATTAGTACCGTTTCGCCCTCCTGAGGAAAACACGAGAGCTTAGTGAAACTGATCTGCCCGAGTGCACACAGAGGTCTGACATTTAGTGTCCCCCCGCCATAACTCCACAACGCAATACTGTCTTGAGTTTCTTGAGAATCTACTGCATGCCAGATGAAAGATAATCTCATATATTTACTTATTCATTTTTAATTTTTTTTTTTTTTTGAGACAGGGTCACACTCTGTCACCCAGGCTAGAGTATAGTGGCACAATCTCAGCTCACTGCAACCTCTGCCTCCTGAGTTTAAGTGATTCTTGTGCCTCAGCCTCCTGAGTAGCTGAGATTACAGGCTTGTGCCACCACGCCTGGCTATTTTTTGTATTTTTAGTAGAGATATCTTTAGTAGAGACTATCTTGGCCAGGCTGGTCTCGAACTCCTGACCTCAGGTGATCCACCTGCCTCAGCCTCCTAAAGTGCTGGGATTACAGGTATAAGCCACTGCACCAGGCCTCATACATTTATATTACGTTTACATTTATTTCTATACCTACAATATCATTTCAGTCTCGAAACAGTCATGTGAGGAGAGTTGGTAGGAGTCTATTCACAGATGAGGAAGGAAACTGCAGCTCAGAGAGCATGACCGTTTGGCTAAGGTAGCAAGGCTGGTAAGTAACTGAGCCTGGCTTTCCACACTGCATTCTTTCCACTGCAATTCCTGCTCCCTGCATGAACACAACCTTTTTGCATGTAACAACCAGAGAGGAAACAAATACAAAATAGCAAAACCGAAGCTGCAGGGTTTAGGGAGTGTGGTACAAGGAGCGCCCCCAGGGGTCAGAAAACAAGCCAAAGAAGACTTCGGTGAAGGGGGAGAATCACTGTGGACTTCTTTATACTGGTTTGTTGTTTATATTCTGCCCGTGAGACTGTCTCGGATACATCTGGCAAATTCAATAGCAAACGGCCACAAAACTGCCCCGTAGCACTGGAGTGCTGGTGGCTAGAATTAGCTCCGTGTCAATGAAGAAGGAACTTCTGTGTGCAATGCTGCTGCCGACCAGTTTGGGAAAGTTCTCAGGGGCTGTTTAGCAAACTATCCTGCTCCGCTGGCAGTTTTAACACTCTCCTGCGAATACAGGCTGGGCTCATTATTTCTTCTTTTTCAACTGTTGACATCCTCACAGGGTTGGAGAGCCTAGCAAAATTGTGTGGGAGCAGCAAACTTTTAATATGGATTAAGCAGCCTGAACAAGGTAATTCTGAGGCCAATACTTCTGAGTTGTTCTTTGCCAGGTCCAGCCATAGTCAATCAAGTTAATTCTCACTCCCATAGCGCGCTCTTTTCTCATCCCCAGAGAGCTCTAAAATGTCTGCTTATCTGAGTGCTTTCTTTATGCATTCAGACATTTATTGGGCACCCACTACAAGCAAAGAACTGGCAGGTTGTGTGGGTTATCCTGACGGATCGCACATGAAGTGTGTACTTAGTGC